TATATTAATTTAAAATAGCTAACACAAAAAATAACAACAAACTGTCAATACGAATTTGCAACCAACCGTGCAACCAACTATTTTCGATTTAAATTTTGTTAAACGTCATAGATTACGTCACAAATTAAAACCGCTGTCAAATTTCAGTAGGACCGCTGTCATTTATTTGTCAACCGGAACCGCTCGCGCGAGTTGAATCGAAAAAGGCTATAAATAATTTTATTAAATTTACGACACCGCGATTTTTGACCACTTCCACTTTGTTTTTCAATTTTTAAATCGGGAATTGGCCGGCCTAATTCTTTAATTTGTAGTTTTTCTTCTAGCGAAAAACCACTAAAAGAGTTTTTTAAGACGCCAATTTTATTCATTGTCACAATAAATTAAAAACTAGGAAATAATATATTTAAATAAGTTTATCGAAAACAAAAAGACACACAGGTATTAAAGTCACTAACATTTCGTAGCGTAACGAAAAACTTAAAAGCGCGTAAAGAAATTCGGTTAACAATCGATATTATCGAGAAACCGCTATCGGCGCTGTGCCTGGCACGAACATTCCTTGATTTTACCATTTAAATACATGTAAAATGTCCAAATCTCTGTTGCTCACATAGGCTGCTGGTAAAAACTCTCTCTCTCTCCCCTAGTGCCAGCTGAGAAATGGCTCCGGTTTCGGCAAGAGCTTGGAGATTTATGCAGCGCGAGGTTGCCACATTTCAAATAATTTTTGAATATAAAAAGAAATGCATAAAATAAAATAAAAATATGATAAGACGTTTAAAAAATAAAATAGTATATTATGTTACTAGGAGTAGAAGGCCAACATTATATGTTGAGCCCAGAATTTTGCACAGCTGAGGCGTTAGCCGAAGCTGTGCAAACTGGGCGAAACATATAATGGGCCTTCTAATCCGAGTGGCATATACTATTTTTTCTTCAAGCATTTAAATAAAGGTATGGATAAAAAAAAATTAAAATAAAAAAGCTGAAATTAATAGAATATCTGTAAAACTAAATAACAGTTTAAAAAAATTATGTACCTACCTTAGTTGCTAAATATCTCTTGTTTGGTGCATTCTTAAGAAAGTTATCAAACTCCTGTTTAGAAAAAACTTTTGACTTCTTCGGTTTGTAATTATCACCTTTTCGTTTTAAGAAGGCAATTAATTTTGAATAGTTTTCAATTTTTACATTATGTTTAATATTTAGTTCTGATTTCAGCATTGAATACTGCGACCACACTGTTGAACTTTTGAATTTTTTCAGACAAATTAGTAAAATATGCGATCAGAACATTTTCTGAATAAAAATGTACGTGATTTTCTTCACTCCATTTCACAAATTTTGTGTAAGCATAATCGTAAACTTTCTTCGATTTCGTAGGTATTAAGGTTTCTATCGAAGATTTCGCTATTTCTAGCAATTCGGGAGGTGTTGATTGTATTTCTTCTGACATTTTCTTTTTACTTGAAAAACACAGGTATAACGAACGGGTTAACACTATTTTTTTATATTCTAAATCATACACTGGAAAACGTCAAATTAAATAAGTATTCAAATGACAGTTCCAGCCTACTTGATTGCAACGTTCATAAGCCATTTAACATTAGGTTTGTGCTTTTTTATACTAGTACAAAAATGAAAAATATTTGTACTAGTATAAAAATAAGCTACTTCTACAACACGTGTACCTTGATATAATGTAAACATTATTATACGCTTGAAGAAAAAATATATTTTTGCATCAAAAATAAGGTAGTGCCATGGCACAGTGGCACTACCCCACGAGCCGCCACTGCTCCCCCCTTAAAATCTGAAAACCCAAAACCCTTAAACACGACATTATTTATTTATGCTCAGTAGCAGTATTTCAAATTTTCATGTTGCTATGTGAATAAACAAAAAAAAAATCGATCCCACGGGAACCGTACATTTTTTCTGGATAAAAAGTAGCCTATCTGCTATTCCAGACTATAATATATATTTGTGCCAAATTTCATCCAGATCCGTTTAGCCGTCCTTGCGTGATTAAGCAACAAACATCCATACTTTCGCATTTATATATCAGTAGGATTTTTCTGCGAAGCAACACGCGATGGCTGCTGTCCGCACAAGGGCGGTTCAAGGCCAAAGTTTCGGGGGACCATTGCCAATAAAAATTCCCATTTTAACATATTATTTTTTTTAATATAAGCCTCATGAATTAAAAAATTTTAGACGCGATGGGGGTCATGGTTTTAAAAGTGGTCCTTCGTCGACATTTATACATTTTCGATATTCTGTACACATCCACATTTTTCAAACTTTTGAATAATCCGAACAATAATTGTGAAATATGACGGAATTGGCCATAAACGAATGTGACCTCCAAAATACTATTTTAAAATCTTACTTAGTGCATGTTGAAGATTAGAGAAATCTAAACTGCTGGCCACTCGAACTTACACATAGAGATGTTTAGGCAAAATTTGAAGTTCAATATTTTCAACAGGAATGCAAATTTTTGAACGTGGCTTGCAGATTTTAAGTGCTAATTTTTTTCGGATTAAGCTGCATGACTTATATTTATCGTAGGGCCATAGGTTTATTATATACAGGGTGATCAATGAAGTCATGCTAAAAATCAAAAAGTGTGTATGAGTGAAATTTCCGCAATCAATTTTTTTGGTCCTTGCAATATGGTTCGTTGCTAAGGTAACATCAATATCTCTAGACGTTTTTGTAGGTTTCTCGATTAAGGCCCTTAGGTCTTGTACACACTACTAAACATAAAATTTCGGTAGCAAAATTTTTAAAATGCTATAACTTGACATTGGATTGAAGGTTCTTGATGATTTTTGCGGATCTGGAATCCTTATTTCACGTAGATTTTATATGGTCTAAGCATTTTATTTGAGAGTTGAAATTTACACATTATACCGGGTCGATAATAGACAAAAACGTAGCGCACGACGCGCTCTAAGGTTTGGCATTATTTTAGTTTTTGTAAAAATAAATTCTCACCTTAAGTATTTAATATCCTTCTCACTGTTCTGTACAAAACTCTCACCCCAGTTTGTTGTCTCAAAGAGTCATTCAGTTTTACAGAGTTCTTTGTCCACCCCATGCCCATATTTCAAAGTAGGCATTTGAAAAATTAATGGACAGACAATTTATGTTTTTCAGGCTAATTTTTTTTCATTTATTAAAAATTACTAATACCAATTACCACTAAGTATTCCTATCCATACATACCTAATATTTGTTATTACAGTACATGTTTTTTAGGGATTCCAGGAACCTTTAAATTAGGTTTAGAATTAGAAATTTTGTAAAAATTGACTTTTGGCCGTTGTTAACCAATCTTGTATAATATAATGTAATAAACTTGTTCTTGTCGCTACGTTTTTGTCTATTATCGACTCCAAATCCACAAAAATCATCAAGAACCGTCAATCCAATTTTAAGTTATAGCATTTTAAACATTTTGCTACCCAAATTTCATGTTTAGCAGTGTGTACAAGGCCTAAGAGCCTTAATCCAAAAACTGACAAAAACGTCTAGAGATATTGATGTTACCTTAGTAACGAACCATATTGCAATGACCAAAAAAATTGTTTGCGGAAATTTTAGCCATACAAACTTTTTGATTTTTTGCATGACTTCATTGATCACCCCGTATATAATAAACCTATGGTCCTACGATAAATATGCGTCATGCAGCTTAATCCGAAACAACTTAAAATCTACAAGCCGCGTTCAAAAATTTGCATTCCTATTGAAAATATTGAACTTTAAATTTTGCCTAAAAATCTCTATGTGCAAGTTCGAGTGGCCAGCAGTTTATTTTGTTTTTAATCATTATGGATTTAATACTAAGTACTACGTGAGCTTTGTGACTGATCGCTTTGATTGAAATAAAAAATGTCTCAATGCCGTCAATCGCGCATGCCGTTCGTACACGTGAGCCAAGATATGAGCGTAAGTGGGAATCCTACCTATCTTGCACCGGGCGTTTCTCGCTGATCAGTAGTTTTTGTTTCACACATGGTCCTATTATACCTTGTCCAATTCATTGCAAAATAGACGGTCCGCGTTTAAATTTCCATACTCGTATTCCTGTTATAAACAGTTTGTTTATGAAAATAATTGTAATAAATATTACGAAATGAACACGGACATCCATGTTGAGAGATGTTTACATGCTAGGAATTCCATAATTTTGACGTTGACGAATAAAGGAATATGAGAAACAAACAATGATTTTTATTTAGTTTCACTAGTGAGCTATGACTATTATGAGACTTTATTTATTTAAAATCACCAGTCATGACCGTCATGGCGGTTCAATTAAACGGTATTGGATAATGACAAAAACTGTGAAAAAATCTTTAATATTTGCGAAAAACTAACCATTTAAAATATGAGAAAATATTAGGGTTGCCACCTGTCCTTTTTTTAAAAGGACAGTCCTTTTTTCAAACAAATTGTCGTTGTGACTTTTTAAAGCTTAAAATGTCATTTTTTAAGGCACATGTCCTTTTTTAAGGCACATGTCCTTTTTTAAGGCACATGTCTTTTTTACGGCACATGCCTTTTTTACAGCACATGTCCTTTAAAAGGACCTTGTTTTTATGTAAATATAAGCCGAGGATCTTCTTATTTTTTTTAGAAGCTCGGCAGAAGGACCAGTGGTTTATTAAAATAACTGATGAGGACTTTTTTTTGAAGCTCGGTAGAAGGACCAGGGGTTTATTAATAAAATATTTTTAGCGAATCCCTGTCGTCACCGTTGTACTTTATTCACTTTTCAAAAAGGTGGCAACCCTAGGAAATATACAAGAACAAAATATTTTCCAGAGAATTGTGGAAAAAATAGATTTATGCCGTATGAAAATTGATGATTAATCTCCTAAAACAACCATATTATAGAAGTACCTTTTGTAACTTTTTTCAATGATTCACAATGATGATGAATGTGTCTTTTCTTTTAACTAATAATATATCATAGCACTTACCATGGTCGAATCTTTTGTGATGTTTATCTAGAAAATAATACCTGGAAAATACTACAGGTACTATTGGCAACTTATTCGAAATGGCCATATGAAATGCACCTTTTTTGAATGGATGAATTTGTCCATCATTTCGTCTGGTGCCTTCTGGAAACACCCATAATTTAACCTGAAAATAAGCGAGTAAATATTACAACTATTAATAAAAAATTAAAATAAAAAATACAAGTGAATTCTATATTCTAAGATATTGTATGTGCCCCGTCTGTGAATTCTTTTAAAAATGCAAAATATATGGTTCCTAGAATTCACCCCCTTAGGAATGAATTTTAACCCCAGAAATCAACTGAGCATGAGCTGAGAGGACGAGTAATTATTTTCCGTGCCATTTGACTTTCAGGTGAAGAACATTCAGAAAACCCCACCCATCATGATACATATCACAGATAGTGCAAGGTGCAAGGATTATACCGTGCGGTCCATATGTATAGAATTAATCAATTTTAAGCGTTATTATGTACTTTTGGAAAGCACCTGAAACAGATCGATTTCTATTCTTAATTTAACAATTTACAGTAGGAAAATATTACTCTTGCACTCTCTTTGAAATATGAGGACCCCCTCCAAAATTAAAAAAAAAAGCGGGTCATGGACACCATGTTCGAAAGGATTTTAATTCTGTCTTCAGCAATCGGCATAAAGTTATGACGGATAATCAGATAAATATTTTTCTGCTGTGCGGCTTCAATTAATGCATTTCTTGGATTTTTTTTCGCTCATTTAAATGGAATTTGTTCTTTTTTTCTAGATCCCCTCAAAGAATAAAAGTATTGGGGTCTGGAAAAACTCACACCGCACCTGGTGGCTCTGAGGTATATCCCCAAAAAATGGAGAAAGGTAAAAGTGGTATTCATATCCAAACCTGGAAGGACGGATTACACTGTCCCAAAAACATACCGACCAATTAGTCTGACATCGGCGGGGTTGGTTGTAGTTTAGCCATTGCTTTGTAGCTTAGATTGCTTGCTTGTTTGCTTGTCCGCTTGTAGGTAACTCTTTCTGCATGCCAATGGAGAAATGCAATCATCGAGTGTCTGCCTCCTCGTGGCACCGCTGGATACGTTAATATTGCTGCTCTATGAACAGCACTATTAACTAACTAAATGGCACTCCATCAATACCCCAAGCTAAGGTGTAAGGCAACGTGCTGAAGGCTGAATGGCCGCTGGGAAAGCGGTTTCGAACGTTCCTCTGAGGGAACCTGGCGAAACCCTCTTGTATCTAGCCTTGCCGGCGCATGCGGGGCTCTGCGTCGGTCGACTTTTATTTCCCTAGCTGTTCGTGGGATTTACATGGGCAAGAAAACAAAATTTAGCAAACCCCGGCGGGACTACACCGCCACCAAATCTGATCAAACGGAGCCTGCCATCCGAAGCGATCAACCTCCCTCAACCTCTCAAGTGAGACAACCTCACAAGAGAGAAGTGGGAGAACAAAAGAAAGAGGTGAAGGGAGAAGAGAAGAGGAGCACCATCGCTCCATCTTCTCCATCCCCCTCTCACCACTCATCGGCGAGGGAAGCTCCCCTCAAGAAAGAATCCAAACGGAAGCTACCTTCCCTACCTCCACTGGGACAACCTGGTGGAAGGGACGACCCACTGAGGCATGGACTCAGTGGGGCAGGGGTTCGGTGGTATCTTCGCTACCTCGCTCAGGGCATGACACCGGAGGAAGCGAAAAAGAAAGCTGTAGAGCACAGATCCCAGGGAGAGGGAAGTAAAACCAATCCTAAGGATCTGAAAAGAAAGCGGGACGGGAATAACATTACACCACCGCAAAGGAAAGAAAAGAAAAGGAAAGTGGCCGATACTTCCGCTTCGGGCAGTTATGCAACTGTCGTGAAGACGGAGCGGGTCGCGATCCTACCTAAGGGGTTCCCTGAGACAATCCTCAGTGCGAACGAACAAACCTTGGTGGAAGAAGCCCTGGTAGAAGAGATGTTCGCTGGATGGGAGCATAAGCTCCAATTCGGAGGCATCCACTTCCGGCCAGGAATGGTCTTGATCGACTGTGAAACCCCACAGTCAGCAGAATGGCTCAGGGCAAAAATACCACACCTGAGCAACTGGAAGGGAGTGGAGTTGGAGGTATGTGCGGGAGACGACATCCCGAAAGCACGTACAGCCACGCTCTTTCTCCCAAGAAGTCAAGGGAAGCCTGTAGAGAAGCTTCTACAGTTAATAGAAGCGCAGAATGTGGGGCTATCGACCACACTATGGAAAATCGTCAGTCAAAAAGACGAGGACAAAGGCCAGATCCTTAGGTTAGGAATAGATAACCTATCCTGCCAACGGATCAAGGATAGTGGATGTACTATCCACTATCGATTCGGGAAAATCCCCGTACACGGCCTTCAAAAGAAAGAAGAATTAAAGGAACTGGAAGGAACAACAGAACCAACTCCTAGTACTTCCAAAGATGAGACTGATGTGGAGAGCATAGAGAGCCTTAACCTCTCAAATCTCTGCGTAGACTCATCTGAGGATGTAGAAATTGATGAAGAAGCAGAAGAGGGGATATGGAACGCACCCTCACCGATGGGGACAACACCCCCCATTAAAGGAGAGAAAAATGGCGGGCATCAACATCGCCCAAGTGAATGTCCATCACGCCAAGGGAGCCTCGGCTGTGATATCTAGGACATTCACTAAAGATCAATTAGGGATCGTATTGATCCAGGAACCGTGGGTCTATGGAAACCAGGTAAGAGGACTTGCATGTAAGGATGCAAGGGTAATTTATCACACTAGTGATGAAGTACCCAGAACATGCATAATGGTAAGAAGTAATATTAAATATTCTTGTCTTTCAGAATTCATGACGCGTGATCTCGTTCCAATTCGAGCATACCTGGAATTAGGGATGAGGCGGCAAGACATAGTAATAGCTTCTAGTTACTTCGCTGGAGATGGGCATGTACCACCCCCGGAAGTATCGAGGCTAGTGGAGTACTGACAGAGAAGACATCTGCCATTACTTCTTGGATGCGACGCCAACGCGCACAGCACTGTATGGGGAAGCAACGACACCAATCAAAGAGGTGAGCAACTTTTAGAATATATTTTTAATAAGAACCTTATTGTGCAAAATATTGGGAATACTCCAACATTTGTAACAAGGGCAAGAAGTGAGGTATTAGACATCACATTAAGCACACCGAGCATTAAAGATCTAGTTAAAAACTGGAGGGTATCGAGTGAACCATCTCTATCTGATCACAAGATAATTGTGTTTACGTTAGAGAGCGACATTCCTGAGACGATCCTCAGGAGGAATCCTAGAAAAACAGACTGGGACAAATACAACACCATTCTAAAACAAAATTTAGCACGTATCCAGACAAAAAAGGAGCCGGGGCATCCACTTGCTCTGGAAAGCGATCTCGAAGAACTAAATGGGGCAATACTTGAGGCATATGAATCAAGCTGCCCCATTCAAAGAAATAGGACTAGTAGGGATGCTCCTTGGTGGAACCGTCATCTGTCAAACTTACGATCCGAAGTGCGGAAGCTCTATAATAGGGCCAAGCACAGCGGAGATTGGCAGAGCTACACCGAGGCGCTTACTACCTACAACAAAGAAATCAGGAAAGCTAAACGTAACAGCTTTAGAAAATTCTGCGAGGATATTAACTCTACACCTGAGGCAGCGAGACTGCACAGGGTCCTGGCAAAAGGGAGAGTTGATACAGTTATGGCATTAAAGAAACCAAATGGAAGCTTCACGGAGAGTGAGGAGGAAAGAGCTCGCCTCTTACTCGAAACTCACTTTCCTGGAAGCACACCTTTTCTAATAAGGGACACAACTAAGGTAAGCAGACCCCCAAGAGAGGCCGCTGTAGTGGCCAAGCATATATGCAGCAGAAATCGGTTAAGGTGGGCCGTAAACACTTTTAAACCGTTTAAGTCTCCAGGTGTGGATGGAATATTTCCTGCCCTGCTTCAGCAGGCACAGGAGGAATTACTACCACACATAATCCGGCTATCCCGGAGCAGTCTGGAGCTGGGATATATACCAGAAGCATGGAGAAGGGCCAGAGTCACCTTTATTCCAAAAGTAGGGAAAAAGGATACCACACATCTTAATCTTTCCGTCCAATCAGCCTCACATCCTTTGTATTAAAAACAATGGAGAAGGCTGTTGATAACTATATCAGAACAGAAGTCCTGGAGAAGGTGCCACTCCACCACAGCCAACACGCGTACCGAGCAGGAAGATCTACAGAAACTGCCCTGGTACAGTTGACTGATGTAATCCAGGATGCACTGACAAACAAAGAAACGGTCGTGTGTGCCTTTCTAGACATAGAAGGAGCTTTTGACAACACGCCACACGAATCTGTAAAAAGAGCACTTGCATACAGAGGAGTAGATAACATCACATCCAGATGGATGGCTCAGCTGTTATCTTCGAGAACTGCAGAGACACAGATAGGGCAGGACACCATCTCCATCTGCACAACCAGAGGATGTCCACAAGGAGGAGTTCTATCCCCACTAATGTGGAGCCTAATCGTAGACGAACTTCTATGCAGATTGACTGACCTCGGCATACCCTGTCAAGGTTATGCCGACGACATAGTCATATTTGCTAGTGGCAAGTTTAGTAATATCCTGTGTGATATAGTCCAAAGAGGACTAGAACATACCAAAAGATGGTGCCGTGAAGTGGGACTTAGTATAAACCCTACAAAAACAACACTAGTAGCCTTTTCAAGGAAAAGAAAACTTAATCTCAAAACCGTTAAATTAGACGGGATAGATATAGAATGAAAAAATGAAGTCAAATATCTAGGCCTAACCCTGGACAACAAACTTCTCTGGAACACACATGAGAAGGAAGTAGTAAATAAGGCCACAAAAGCCCTAATGGTATGCAGAAACATGGGTTACATCTAACCCAAACATACTGCGATGGATGTATAGTGAGACCAATCATCACTTACGGGGCTATAGCCTGGAGTAACAGAACTAGTTTAGTTACTACGAGAGCTAATATCTCAAAAGTACAAAGACTAGCCTGTGTTTGCATTACTGGTGCAATGAGAACCTGTCCTACGGCCGCAATGGAGGTGATCTTAAACCTCACCCCTCTACATTTGATGATAGA